AATCAAGGGAGCTTTTCTTCCGTTGCCTCAAGAAGTTCTCGGCGAAAAGATCACTGGTGATGAAGCAATCTTGTTCAAGAACGTTGAACTGAGTATGGGAGGCAGAATTAGGCGACTTTCCAGACTCTGATCGCGCTCACATCAGCTGAAACTGTGTTTCTTTCATAGCCTTACAATGGAGAAGTCTTGTGTAGACTTTGGTCTTTTGACTGAGTTAAGATGTTGAAAGGACTTTGCGCTTGCTGTTTCTTTGAGATTGATTCTATTCTTACAGTTGTTGAACTGGCGGTTTGCTCGACGAGCTTTTCTCTTTTGTGTTGTTTTGTGTCACACGAATTCTTGTGGACTTCTTTGTCTTTGGGGAGTTTTGTTGTGCTGAGCACATGGAAAAGACTAATAGGTTTAAATTGTTTGGTTGAGCCATTTGTCTACAACGTAACGGTTGATTGCATTTTGGCTGCCGAGATGTTTGAATGTGACTATGGAGGCAAAGTCAATGTTTTTTAATCTTCGGTACTTCTTCGTCTTTTTTGTAATTTTGGCGCGTGTTGTTTTGCTGTTATTCAATTGCGAGACTCCTGAGAGAGGCCCTATTACCACTCCCTGGAAGCCTTTGCGCTGTTTCATGGGACTGTTGGTGAGAGAAAACGGCTAGTTTGGCCATTGGACTAAGCAGTTTTGGAAGTTCTGGCAGTTGCCGGCGGGTGTGGGCAATAGTTTTTCTGCTTAGCTTGCTTCCTGTGTCCAACGCTGTCACTTGGGAGGATCTTGTGTTTTTTCCTGAACAGCTCGATGAGCTGGGTGAGAATTTCTATTTCTCTTTCAAGACTGCCCTTGGAGGAGTTCATGAAGTTTAGGTTCTTATTGAGCCTTGCGGGCCGAAGAAAGTATTACGGATAGATGATAGCCAGGAACCTGCTCAAGGTTCCGTGCAAGTGGATATAGACTAGGAAAACCGCCAGCAGGACTCAGAATGGGTCCATGAATCATTGGTGAAACAAAAACCAAAACCATCAAATCACAGTTCAACCATATTAAACCCCCTTAAACCACCATGAAACCCCATTAAATCACCGTTGTTGGGAAAAAATGGGAAAAATCTGAATGTCTACTGGTTGTGCCCAGAAGCGCCTTCACTCTCGACATCTCTCGGCTCAGGCTGGGGATGTTCGCTTGGCGCATGCCCTTTGTGTGGGCGACTTGTTGAGGTCGATGGTCGGCAACGACGTCAACTTAACACATCCAAGATAGGTCGGTTGATAGGTGAGTAGATGGGATCCGTTTAAGCAGCCAAAATGGTGATGAACACCTGATAAATCTGATGAAGGATGATTGATTTGTGTTGGTTTTGTTGGTGGCTATACAATCTGGTTTCTGTATTCGAAATTCTTAAGCAAGAAACTTGGATCTCACCACGAATTCTGAAATAGTTGTAGAGGTTTGGATATATTCAAAATTATGTACTTTGCCGATGAATTGGTGCATACACCGAAAAGTAATTATCTGCTATGAAAATGGATGAAACTGGGTTGGCCCCTCCAAGAATGCAACCAACGGGGGTTGAATCTCGGGCTTACGTCAACCATCTCAAGTAACACAATTTACCTACAGTATTCTTGAGCCCATGGCACAACGTATTGATGTTCCCAATAGGCAACCCATAAAACAAAATGTCCTCAATACTATTTGTTCAATGCCCATTTTTGTCGACCCCTGTAAATCCCAGTTAGTGACTAATACCCCATGTTGGTTTGTAATTCAACCCCACACAAGGTGGCGTCCCCGAGGTTTAAATTCGTTTCTGAACGAGTTCGATGCATCTGCCATGAACTCCAGTTAACCTAGGCAAATAAGCCAACTTAGCTATCGATTGTGTGGTCCACAAAGGTGATCGTCTCATATTATCCTTTATGTTCCATGCGTAAATTATTGTTCAGACATTTCTCGTACCTTATCCCCATTAATTCTCTATTCCATGAATTTCCATATTTTCGCGGTAATACCCGATACAACTACATTAAAGCCATCTTTTCTCACCCCTTGCTCCATACTCGAGGACCACGAATGCTGGGCCGCCCTCACTGAGCTGAGCTTCCTCTGCAGTGCTGCGCCGCGCCAATTCTGGCGCCTGGCGCGCAGGCAGCTGCTGGTGCTTTACGTCACTCCCGGACCAGTTGGGATGGGATGATTGTGGGGATAGATTGAAACGTATTGTATCATGTTAGCTAGTACCACAAGTGGTCATTGGAAAGTGGTAATTCATAGCTAATATCTGACAAGTGGAAAATGGTAGCTCATATCTAATACCTATGAGGTAGATGAAAACATCTGATATGGGGATATTGATGGAATCTATGTATCTATGTATAATATACATACATACATACATACATACATACATACATATATATATATGTGTGTGTGTGTGTATTCCTATGATGTGAGATGGTATATATAGTGTTGGATACTATGTAACCATGTGAAATGGGTTGTTAAGCATCCCAGCTATTTGGGCGAAGATTCATAAATCCAACTATTTTGAGGTGAACAGGAGCGTAGCAGGACGCGTACCCATGTGGGTGGATGTTCGCGAAAAGATGGAAGCTATTACCCTCTGGTAAACAAACAAAAATCTCTGGAAAATCAACATGTTATTCATGGGTAAATCAACTATTTCTATGGCCATTTTCAAGAGTTATGTTAGCTACCAGAGGGTACATGTTATAACCACGTGTTTTTCTGGTTCAAGATGGACTTGGCTCAGCAATCGAACCTGGGATGAAAACTCGAGACATGATCCAAGGCTTTGGATCTGGGAAGTACCCCAATTTATGGGTTAAAAAGATGGAAAAGCCACGAAATTCACCGGCATAAACAGGGACTTGCTGCTTTTATATCTCCATGTAAAAATATCTGGAAATATGATGGTAATTTCCCAGTAACCAGCCATTGGACGTCACCGTCTGGATCAGTTTCACCAAGAACTAGGCTTGGAATATGGATATCAACAAAGTTCTAAATAGTTGGTGTGCATATATAAACACAAATATGTATATATTTAAAATTGTTATATGGTCTGAGCCACAAGTATATATACCAACTATATTATAAATAGATTTATATGGTCAACCCTAGGTTTAAAATATATCAACCATAAATAGTTTTATGTGGTTTCAACTATGAGTTTACTAGTTGAGGTGTGTTGGGGTTATAAACCGACCCTTGAAGAATAATTTGCTGAAAAAGGTACCGACCCCATGATCAACAGCCTTGGGTCCAGGGGTGACCCCCCGGGGTTGACAGAAGCTGTCTTTACTGCCATCCCCCGATCATGGTAACCCCCACAGGAATCCTGGTTTCGTGGAGTAGTGGATGATCTATTTGCTTCGGGGGTCCCAAACAATTGGGGTAGTGATCAAGATCAGACAATTGGATCATGTCATATCCATTTTTACCTGGTAAAAATCAGAATCAAATCATCGTTCTTGTTGCTTGTCCGAGGCGAGTGCAGCCTGGTGGAAACTCAACACTTCCTTCTTGGACCCGCGCACGTCCTGTAGCACCGTGATCTGGCGGGTTGATCTGAGAGGGACATGCTGCTGGTGTTTTTTCAATTTGATATGTCCAGATTTGATACTAGGCTGAAAGGAATATAAAACATATCTGGTGGGGCAAAAACCATTCACGAGATCCATTGAGGGTAAGATTTCAATCAAAAAATTGGGCCACCTCAAGTGGTTTTATCCAAGCGCTGTTCTCAGCTGGTGCACTGGCAGGTGTTGACACATGATGTTTCTTTCGCCAGTAAATGTTACACAGTTTTGGGACGAACTGAACAAAAATATTGTCGGTTTGATCCCCATGTTGGGTGCTTCAATCCTACATTCGCTGGCAATGTGCGGGATACCTATTCATGTTACCGGTTAAGTGCCACATATCCACAAAACAACAAAACATCGCATTACTGCTAGTGAATTAGATATATTCACACCTGAATATTTGATGTATTGACCTTAGTCACGTAGTGAATATCAAGTGATGTTTAATGGGTGAATGGCATATCCCATTGAATATATCCCAGTTATCATTTGATATCAACAAAAGGTTGGCATATGACCCAATATGATATTGAGTCATCCCCAAATATATTCCGCTGTATCCTCATTTATCATTTATCAACATTATATTACATGTGGCGATTGTATCCCAATTAAATAATGTGTTAATGATATCCCAATACAAGTTTAAGAATCAATTAATGATATCCCATGAAACCCTCATCCATACCTGATTTTTCCCAGCTAATTATTCTCATGATATCCCATATATCCCCAGCAACTGAATCAGGACCCATTGATGAATCCCCACAGGTCATCCTGATTCAGTTGCTGAGTACCTACACACCGAGCGATCTGGCACAGCACTTCGCGCCAGTGGTGGCCAGGTGGCACCATGAACAGGGGCTGGGTTGGTCTAGCAAAAATGGGTCGTTTTTTCAGGTAGAATCAATGATTCAAGCACCAAATGTGGGGTTTCAGTTCTTTGATGTCACCAAAAAGTGTGAATTTACCGGCGAAATTGGTGATTCAACAAGACAGTTGATCACAAGTGAAGCATCAAGGACCATTGTGCCTTTCGACCTTGAACAGTATACCAGTTGGTGGCAGGGGCCGCTCCAAAATCATCAAGCATTTTAAGCTGGTGACTCACCATATCACTGATGCATATGTTGTATATTTTTTATGATTATATACCTACTATCATATGTTGCTATTAGTTGCTATGTCCCAAAATCTTTGTGTACATATAAATAAATAGATATAGGTCTATCTATATCTATCTATCTAAAATCATATATATATATATATATACATATATATATATATACATTTACATACATATATATATACATATACATACATATATATATACATATACATATATTTATATGTATATACATACATATATATATATATATACATGTCTATTGTCCCATACCATTTTTATCTCCATATTTCCAAACCCCAAAGAGGTGGGCGCCTTTGTTGGGCATCGGCGGTGAAGCGACGATTGCGATGCTCTTGCTGTGCTGTCCGCGTCTGGGAGTGCCTGGCTTTGGGGGAGAGGAAGCCACTTCTTGGGAATGCAGTTGGATTAACGAATTAACCCAGGATATGATCTCTAATGGATATAGTATTGAATATATATATATATATATCTATATATCTATATATCTATATATCTATATATCTATCTATTGTATGCATTTATATATTTATTTATATACATTTATATGAATATTGATTTAATGTAATCCAGTTGATATAGTGTACAGCTATAGTTATTACATATATTACATGATATTGCTATTATATGAATAGTACTAGTTGGGTGTATACCATATATATATATATATAGAGTTTAGTTGCGACCCATTTTTTATTGATGGATGTAACCTTGGTAATAACACTCATCAATAACGGTAGTATTACTGGATATGAAGGGATATAATCCCAAGCGGAGGTTAATGGATGGTGCACCTGAGGTTTTTTCCTCCCATAAGTTGCGATCTTGGTGGCGTAAATCTAGGAGACATCCATGGAGATCGTTTCAAATTTACAAAAACCTTTTTGTTCACGAATCGCCACAAGGATTCTTATTGCGATTCATGACTATTCTTTTTTTTGTGGGGGGTAACCTTTGGTGGCTTCCCATGCTGCCACATAGCTATGATATAGACGGCCCACAGACATGTCGATGATTTCCGCCTTGTAGCCATAAAGGCCCATTTTCCATACGTTAATTACTGATGAACATATGGAACCGGTAAAATAAACCGACATGTTCATGTTGGCTGATTATCATCTGGTAGTGTTATCAGGTTCACTAACATTAACCGGTTCCACCAGCATTAAGATGTAACTGCCGTATGGGATGGAACAGGTTAATTTCAAAGTTTGGACATCTTCCGATGCTGATGAAGACCCCATGTTGCCTCCCCAGATTGATGGCGATCTCTTTCATTTCTGACATGGGCAGACGCATGTCTCATCCTGTATTGGCTTTGCATCCCCGTTGTGGTTGCTTAAACCCTCATAAGTTGATGATTGGCTCTACATTTCTGGTGTTTTCCCTGCATCTTCCGAAAATGTTCAACCCAAAAAACTATCAGTATATAGTTAGATATAGTGGTATATATATATTTATTTATTTATTTATAGATATGTACCCAGAAATGTATGTATATATATATATGTATATATATGTGCTGTATATAACATACATGGTTTCCGCACCCGTTTCCTTAGGTCCTCAGCGCCTTGGCGTTTCATCTGCTGGTTCTGCTTTGCCCTGCGCCGAACTTCGCCGGCGGCTTCTCCGTTTGCTGCGCCGCACGGCTGCTGCTGTTGCTGCCCATGGAGGTTGACACCCGGGGATAGAACTGGGAATTTTCATTTCTTTTTACTATTAATAATTATTGTTATCGTAGATGTGAAAGTATCTATGGTATGACTATTGTTTTTACTATTGGTCACTATTGTCAAGGATGTATAGGTATTTGCAGTTACAGTTGTGTTTATCTTCATGCTTGTATTTAAATATATATATAATCAACATGTATCAAAGTGTCACATGGGATCATAGTTATTCGATGGGATACTTTGGCGATATAACCGGGATATAACGGGATGTGACAGGATGACAACTGAATTGATTTGTCGCCATGCGGTTTGCTTTTTGGGGGATTAGATGGATAGTGGTTAAGCAGTCAATGGGCTTACCGAGCATAAATGAGGATCTTGACCAGCATATTATGCAGTTGGAAATGAGTAAGCCGTTTGGTGAATGATGAATGGGAGGTTCATGGATCCATGTTTTGCCATGAATGGAGACAAAGATTTTTATGCTGCTGAAAACTGTGTTTTTCAGATGTGGGGTTTGACCTATCAACACGGTGGATTTCACCAAAATAGAAACGGATATGTTTCGCTGACCCTCTTGGGCACTTCCCAGCTGCATCTCACATCTTTTAGAGTGGAGGTGATATCCCTTTTTGATGTTTTCCCATGTTTTTAAGATATGTTGAAATTGTTTCCCCATGATGTTTTACATGCTTGCTTATCAGTTAAGAAAAGTTCTCATCACATCCAATAAAAGTTTGCGGGTACTTCACTTCGAAACGATCTCCTAAAAAGAAAGACTTCAACACCCCAATTAACCGGCCATAGTGGGAGATATCCCATTGGAATATTCCAACCCATAGCAACAGCAACACCGAAAAAGATAGAAAAGCGAAATTCTATCAAAATGGTGGTAAACCACTGTTCTAATTTTTGGGGCTTACGAATTCCCATTGGAAAATGAAAAATATCATACCAAGTTGGTTAGCTATATCCCATCCCATTTTATACCTCAAATTGTAGATGTGTTTCCCCCATCATATCCCATTGTATACCCATATGTATGTTTCCTAAAAGGGGTGATAATCCCAAATCATCTATTTGATCTTCGGATTTTCCATGAAATACACTCAATCTATGGAAACCCCCATATCTGTATGTATTCCATTTATTCCTCTGCCATTTTTTTCCGCAGGCAGCGCCACAGTGCCGTTGGAGCCCCTGGGTGGCACTGGGCGCAGCAGTGTTCGCAGGTGTCATCCCCAGCCGCTCGGCCATCGAAATAATCATGGCTGGTTGGCGCTGTGGAACCATGGATTTTTTTGGCCCTCCATTCAGTTGGGAATTTCATCATCCCAACTGACGAACTCATAGTTTTCAGGGGTAGGCATACCACCAACCAGATGGTAACCCAGACAAAACCGTTGGATAAGATGTATTTTACCTATCAATTGTTGGGTAATCCTATAGTTGGGTCGCTAAGTTGTAACTATCAAATTTTGGATTTTACCAGGCAAATGGGGGAGTGAGCGATTGTTCGAAACAGTGACTTCACCGATGATGGATAATGGGCTGTGTCTGAGACTGGGGTATGCCTCGTCCACCGCAAGCGGCCAAGTTTCACAGGAGAAACGGTGTCAATTACCAACTGTGGTTTTAACATGTCTTAACATGGTTCGTTGGTGATTTCAAAAAAATCAAGAATATGGTTCAACCATATTTAAACAATCTCAACTAAACATGGGTTTTAATTGTCGCCTAATGTGGTTCGATGGGGTTTGAACCATCCAAGGACAGGGATTTCAGGCATCAAAATGTGCGACTCAAGGTTGCCAGTTTGAGGAACCAAGGACGGAAATAGTGATCAACCGTCAAAAATAATGGTAAATGCTGGATAAGTACAGTTTCATGAGTTTATTTTGTTACCATTTTGTGTGAGTAACCAACTAAAAACAACTTTTCTGTGATCTGAGAGCCGCGCCCTGGTTCTCATGAAATCAATCATTCTCAAGCCTCACGCCATGTTCTTTTTTATACCTCATTTGTTGCAAGGTTTTCGGCCAACGTTGCTTGAACTACTTGCAATGTGTTTCTCAGTCTAAACTCTATGCGTCAAATGCTGGTCAAAAACCGTCACTCGCATCCGGTGTTAAATCATTCAAATCCTATGCTTTCTCATTTTTCCAGGTAGAAACTCGCAATAATCCACAATCATCAAGATGTTCCTGTGCTATGTTTATTGCTTAAAATCTCACATTTGACCGGTATTTTGTTGACTTTTCATCGCCAGTTCATCCCTGGCCGTTCCCAGGTGCCGCCTCAGCAGCCTACGGCGCGTTGGCCTTCAGCCTGCTGCAGGGCCTCTGGACGAAGACGACCACGACCACGACGGAGGTTCCATGGGGAGTTGGAAGGCGAAGCCCAGAGAATAATGGGTTAATGTCAACCCCGGATTAATAAACCATAGTTTATTAATTAGGGGGTGCTTCCCCAATAGTCATAATCTGATACTTAAATGGTACCTCCCCCAATCAAAAAACCTAAGGGTTTATTAATCCAGGGTTGGCATTTATAATGGGTTAATAATGCTTTAATGGGTTGATCGTTTATTATGGGCATAGTGGGTTCATAATTATACCGTTAGTGACATAACCATTCAGTATTTCCACACTAATGGGTTAGTAATGGGTGAATAATTGTTAAGAATGTGTTCATGATCATAGATTGGTATATTTCATGGCTATCCTCTGGGAATCATGGCTGGGATGATGGAGTTTCTATTGCTAGCTTTGCCGGTAACGGATGATGAATCCCTGTCCGCTCTTTGTATGGTTAACGATGGTTGATAGTGGTTTATAATGGTCTTTAGTGGTGAATGGCGTCTTCATGTCGATGGTTAATGATGGTTCATAGTGGTTAATAATGATCAATGGTGGTAACACCCCCGGAAACCATGGTTTAGTGGGGGAGACATCACATTTTGGAAACCATACACTGGTCGCGTTTGATATTCGGTTATTATCCATGGTCACATATTAACGATGGTTCTGGATTACTAATAATGGTGTATGTTTGTGTCGAGGTATTGCCATTGAGAATGATGTTTTCCTTAATGGTTGATGATTATGGATGACTATAAGAGTTACTACCCTTTGAACCTACCACTAGGGGATGATCATAGAACAACCCATTTATGATTATATGTAGTGTATTCATGTGGTGATGTGGCAGACGTTTCCAGTCTACACCAGGATGAACGCTTCATCTTCAGAAAAGATTAGGTGACTGCATTATGGATGATTGTGGTCAGTTTTTTGTCTTGTTATATTGATTATGGCCAAATTCTGCGATTATCTATATTTACTAGCTCAGACAATGACACAATGACACATAAGTTTGGATTTCTGACCCACCAATATAGGGATCTTAGCCGGCCAAGATTTGACCGACTAGAATGGGGCGCTTACATGATGGCAGAGATGGTCCCTTGAAAGAGATGGTGAGAAGAATGGATGCTTTTTCTTCAGAAAGAGGTGTCCAGCATGACACCCAAGTTGCGGGACGGTGCCGCCGAAACTCCAAAGGCAGAAGTATGACAATTGGGAATGGCTTCAACTAGCATTCAAGCTCCTTGGAAAAGGACCTGTCATGGTATGAAAACGGCACTGCCGAGCACCATTCCAAAAAGCTGTCAGACAGCATTCAGAGAGTATTCGGCCTTTGCTGGCCATGTGTGTCACTGCCCGGCCGCGCTGGGAGAAGTCAGCTGACCACCTGGCCTTGTCCCATCAAAAGAGGTGTAGAATTGATGTTAAGCCCATCAAAATGGTCGTTGTCATTCAAAGAAATGTTGACCAATGTACAGATTATTTGGTTAGTTCCAAAATTATTCCAACCAAAACTGGCTGATGGCTTCAATATGTTTCAACTCTTTGTGGTGGCGATCCCTATGTGGAATGATGGTTCCCCATTGAGTATAAACATGAAGTAGTTTGCTTGGATGGGCACAAGCTGATGTATGGAGCATACATTTGCATCCAGTTGCTTACTCCCAAACATCATATTACTGTGCCACTTTTGACTCTTCCAGAATTGGGGAAAAAGTAATTATAGCTGTTGGAATGGTCCTTTGCTGTATTTTCAATCCGACTTGAACTTACAAGTACCATGTATAATAAAAACTATGCAGTCTTCCAAACTAACATCTTCATCCCTCCCGTACTAAGTTGATGTTCATCATCCAACCATGCCTTCACTTTGCCAGTTTCCAATGCCAGGCCATTACTTTCAGCACCTTCGTGTCGCCCCTGCTGCTGCTGACCCTCGTCTATGCCTTTCTGCTACCGGTGCTGGGGCTCCAGCACATGGCTTCCTGCTCCATGCCACTCGGAAGATTAGAGTAGTAAAGAGTGGACTTGGGATAATGTTATAGTAAAGGAATAATAAAGCGCCCATATTTTGATGGTTAATACCACCCATTTATGGTAAATTGGAGGATGGTTTATTATTGCGTCATCCACCTTAGTCAAACTTGTGTTGAACCTTCACAACCTATAGGGGACCACCATACGGGGACATATTCTGGGCGATGATCAGTTCTGAACGGTACTTCATCAACCAGAAACGAAAAAGCAACATTACAAGAAACAGGAATGACATAATATGACTGGTTGATTCAGCACTTCATGAGGGTTTGATCGTCAACGATAGGTAAAGACGTTGTGGGAATAGTGGGAATCTAATCATGAACAGTAAAAGATTGTCATTTGGGTCCACCTTGCTTGGGTGCTTTAATTTTTGTATAATCTGCCATAAATGGGTATGTGTGAAGCGGCTAGAATCGTGTTCCTTTGCAGGGTGTCAAAGATTGTCCATGGTAATAGGGATAAAACTTGATACAACATACAGTACCTGAGGAAGAAACAAGGATTTGAGCATCCAAAATGGGGGGTCAACTCATTATGAAAATGGAAATGTATGTGTCCCGAAAAGGGGTTTAGCTTGCCCTCCAATACTCGAACATGGCGACAATTCCCATCAGGATGATGCCAATTGCTCCAGCAATGGCGTCAGGACCAACACAGGTCGCCTTGAGGTGATCCGGGTTTGGAATGCAGTGGCCTAAGTTGCGGACCTCAGCCAACTTCTCATGGATTGGCGGGTCCCACGCCGTTGGATGCCTGAATCACAATCCAAACACAAGGCAGTGCTGAGCTTGAGTTTTGAGACCACGGAATGGTCTCCAAAGGAGACGTCGCGGACGAGTGGAGCTGATGTCAGGATTGTTGGACAAAGAGAAGGCTCAAGTTCGCCTCTGACATGCTGGCAGCGAATGAGTGAACTTTGTTGGTGATTGGGAGGTTAATAAGGGGTACCAAGCAACGGAACACAAAAGGGTTTGAAGGTTGGAGAGTTATCAGGATTCGCATGGTTCTACGGGCATGATACTCCAAGAAATGGGGTTTGGGTAGCAAACATGGGAACAAAAATGGGTGTTCAATATGATTAAAGCATCAATATGATTAAAGCAAACCAAAGCGTTGATTTCACAACAAAATGGGAAGGTTAAGTCCAGAAGCATAAACGGGAAGTGTTGACTCGGATTGCTGCGGCAAAATAGATGGAGGGGAGGCCCCAGCACCCAACACCGACCTGTGAGGTATGCGAATCTAAAGCACTACGGTGGCTCCAATCATTTGGTCGTTCCAACAGGGCTGCTGCAGGAGCTTCGTCAGTGAAGATTCCCCAGCTTTTGGGATAGTTGGTATGTGGCCACGGGTCAAAGTCATAGCCTGATTATGGACTCAGGCTAGAAATCGCCACTTTCTGCTTTCTGGCTTCGTTCAAATCCAGGGCGTCATCCATTTTTGTGGTTCATTCCCTGCATTTTTTTGAGTTGAAGATTCCACAATTCCTTTGGTCGACCCCGAGTCAACCCCTCTTTTTTTCCGTTTGACCCATGTCAGTTCGTTGCCATCCCATTTTGGTCATGAAAATCCTATGCTTTTTCAAGATACCAGCTTTGTGACCCAAGACCACCATAACAGTAAAATCGCCAGTTCAATCTTATCTTCATTAACCATCATTAACCAACAGTAATTAACCAGTTCCCCAAGATATCCCCAGGGGATCTATCCTCCAGGACTGGTTCCACGACCTTCACAGCCCCTGGGGCCCCGCCTTCGGTGGTGCCTTGTGGCGCCTCGACGCTGTGGATGGTGCTGATGGCGCTGCGGCGCTGACGGCGCGCAACGCATGGACCGCGGTGGAGCCGCCGCGGGCCGTGGAGCTGCTGCGGAGCAACGGCCACAGCGGGAGGTGCGGCGATATGGAAAATATGTGTGAAAATCGAAAAAATCAATGGGGATACAAGCGGAATATCTTGGAATATAAGGATATAGTTGTGGAATATGATATTCCAGGTAGTGGTATAACTGTGGAATTTAGGGGCCAAAGGAAGCTTAGTTCGGAAACTTCCGAGTTTTAAGGACGAATGTCCATGGTCCTGCCATGTGAATCACAGACATAACAGTTATAATTATACTTTACTCTACTGTACTATACTACACTATACTTTCCTTTTTACGTGGATTAATATCATAAAATCAATATATATATATATACATATTAACATGACCCAAATTAATGAACCTCCCATTTATTCAGTGAGGATTGGATATCAACTATAGTAGGAGTGGCCATTCACCCCACCTCCCTGATATCAAGCATTCCCATTGTATGGTCCCCAATATGTGATTTCATCCTCTACTAAACCATGGTGGCTTTGGGCAGGTGTTGAGTACTAGAGATCGGTCCGCATTGAATTACATAGTCAACATAGCCCAAACATTGGCACTATCGGACTGAATATATTGTTGACCGCGAAGAATAACATGTTATATAATATAGGGTCATGCTTATCTGAGATAGTGATGCAATTTACTTCCAATGAAATGAATGGACATAGACAATAAGCAAGAACAAGGAACATAACGGGATAAACCTGCTTGGTCCACGTACGTATTGATGTTGGGGACCTAAGAAAAATAGCAGCATAAAAGGACAAAATCAGCGGTAACAGCAATCAGCGCAGGGGATTTTCACCAACAAGGTGGGATGAGTTTCTGGATTAAACAAGGAAAGGGCCATATACCAAAGGATTTGACCTTTTGAAAACATTGGAATGTGGTAAAGATCATACACGCCTTGCAAGGGATTAACCTGACTGTCAGCAAACGATTCAACCAACGACAACGACAAATAGGGCAGGATTATCCATAATGACTTGGCGCCGTGCTACTTAAAAGGTCCAACCCGCTAACGGGGACAACGCCAACTAGGGATTTGTTGTTTCACCAGGGTGACAGACCGGATTCCAAGTACCTCTTGGGCATGATGAGCCCTGAAGAAATCAGGCGGCTGTTGTATCTAATTATATATTAATTATGTATATACATACATACATACATACATATATATATATACATGTATTCGGGGGTTGCTGACTGCAACTCGGAAATGATCCGTTTCCCGAGGCAGTTTGCCGCCTACTATGCGCGCCTCGAATCCTTGGAGGTGGAGATAAAGATGGGGATCTCAAATCTCAAAGACATCATGGAACCTACTCTCTGGTAATTTCAGCTATGGAAAACACCACTTTTTGCATGTTCCATCTGATGAATGCCGGAACCTGAGTTGCAACAACTGCATGCTCCGCAGCCTGCGGGCTTAGTCATCCGTGTTAGGTGAATTTGCCCGGTGGCTCCCACCCCACCCAAAGCTCCAAGAAAAGATCATATTAGAATATGTCAAAGGCCAGAGAAGAAATCAACGGTCAACCAACCATCTTCACCTGCTGGTATCGGTTCCCTGTGAAATACAACTCTCAAATATAGATGCATACAAAATATACAGCTGAAAATTTATACCAAGTATTTCAATCAAACCTATCATTACCTGTCAACCATCCATCAGCGTATTTTTTAAAATACCATTTCAACCCTCAACCCTGTCTATGTGTATATATATATATATTTATACATACTGTATATACATTTGTCGTTTAATGTATTGTATATTACACCAAAAATCTATCCATCTCATCCCATCCATTCACCAACAGGCTGCTGGGGTCAGTTCCTACCGACTCTTCCATTGGTCTTCCCCGCCTTCGAGCTTCGCCGCGCCCTGCGCGCCACGCCCTCAACGTCGCCGTGGCGTGCCACGCTGACGCGGCTGCCGCGGCAGCTGCGGACGCCCAGGGAATGGCGGGACTTCCCAGGGATGCAGGTGCTGGGATGGGAAAAGGGTTGTAGAATGACGACCTGAAGTATGGTGAAAATCATGGTTTTGAGCATGTTTCACCAACAAAATGATGGTTTAATTATGGATTCATGGTGGGTTCCACCCAACCGACATGGTGGAGTTGATTGATTTCTTTGATTTTTAGAAAGGGTTTAGTTGGTTTTTCGGGGAAAGTGATGGTTGATGGTCACCAAAAAACAGTGGGTTAAATGCTGATGTGGCCAGTAAAGATGTAGCCACATGGGTCTTGCAAGGTGGTTTAAGCAACAATGGTATTTCAAACTAGGTACTAGCCAACGAAGATGGTGTCTTGATTGATTTCAGTGTGGGCTTAATTGGGGTGCAACTACGAAAACTTATAGCTTGAGGGTTGCGTTGACCAACAAACATTGTGGTTTGAGGCGATTTGTTTGACAGTGAGTGGGTGACATTCCTTCCTTGATGAATCCCAGTCTTGGATGTGTGGCACTACTTTGCGAATTTGTTGGGAGATGTGGCAAGGAACCACCAGATGGGTGCAACGTTTGGCATATGCTGAGCACTTCGAGACTGGAGATATTTTGTGGTGGGTCATAAAGTGGTTCAAAAGTAAGGGAATGACCACAAAGAAGTGTGGCTTCAGCGAACAAAGATTGACTAATTTGCAGTTATTTCCATTGTCTGTGTTTCATGGGATTGCGAAGTTTTTTCGAAGTTCGCTCTCATGTTTTATTTGTACAAAATTCAAAGATACCAACGCTGCAGAAAATTGACCTCCTTACTCATGCCTATGTAGTTCTTAATCCTTCTGACTATACGAATTAGGTTTCTTAACTTGCCCATGATGATGTATAGTAATGATAATAATGATGGGAAGTCCTAGTGGTATCCAAACTCGCCAAAGTCGGTAGCAAACTCATTTTGCCAGCATCATTTTCCCCCATTCTTACAATCATAGTCTCAGCTTTGGGGCTGCTGCTGGATAGATCCGTAGAAAGATCGATAGGTGATAGACCCAGATAGATAGACCGATCGATGAATACATAATGTCGGTGATGTGCATGCCCAATTTAGGGACATATTTCTGCAGGTGTACCTTTGGTCCAACGGCAGCAGTGATGAGACCTTGCAGAGGTGGTTGGAGTCCGAACCTCCATGGTGGCTTACAAAGATCCTTGGCGGAGGGACGCTTGGGGGTCCCGTGGTAAGTGATGAATATAACTCATAGATATATATATATATATATATAAATTTATATACGTTTCATTACATAACTGGAAATATCATCCATATATGGGTGGATCGTACTCATAGAAACAGTTGATTTGACCAAAGACGGGAAATTGCCTGGTAAATTGGGAAGATGCGGGGCCAAAGACCAATGGCATATGGCGGAAAGGAAATTCAATCACTAGGCTGTGAAGACCTGAAAACCATCAATTTGGGTCTTAACCTTGGAAATACACTGGTACTCTGATGTTCCATATGATGGGCAAGCAGCTCGCCACAGTCTCAATGAAACAAACATGACAGTGCAAAGCGCCCAGGCAAAATCATCTACCATTGCCATGTTGGATTACAAGCAGGTACTTGTCATGATTGATTCCTCTTATTGCTACCCCCAAATTATTCTCAGTGAATGCCTTTGTGGTGGCGCTTTTTGCCCCAGATCAGAGATGGTTTATTTGCATTGCTTTTGCTTCAAGACACCATCCATCCAATCAGGGTGAGTTATACATACCTATAGCACCATTCTCACAACCTCAACAAGACTGATGGTCAGTGAGGGAAACCCCACCAGATCCAAAGGATATCATGGAGATTTCCGAAACCCTTACGCCATTGAGGCTTTTGCTACCATATCCCTATCCGCTGCTGCCCGACGATGACACTGAGATTCATTGCAGCAGCTGACAAGAATAAAAGGGCGCCCTCTTCCTACTGAAAAGGTGGAGTAGTTAAAAGGGAGAACGTAACAAGGAAACACAAGTAAATTGACCAAGAACTGAATCTATGGACACCTTGCATTGCGAACTGGTAGGTGAAAAAACCCAGTTGTGCGATAAATGGAGGAACGTGTGATATTCGGCAAACATGAGCCTTATTGAAGGAGATCTAAGGATTGGCCATCATCACCGCCACAATCATAGTGTGCTTCCTGGGCGTTACGCTGCTGTAAATGATCATTGAGGTCTGTCCAGGGATGACATCATGTTTTTCTGGCCGTTCACCTTGTGATCTCTGTTTCTAGGTTTGTCATATGGGTTCAAGAACTGGGGATACTTCAAATGGCAATTTCCACTGGAAAAATGATGACAAGCAATTTGATTTGGGGGGCCCAATGTTCAGAAATACCTTTCAGAAATTCGTAGGATGCCTGCTTCCAAATCGAACCGAATTTGGTTGATGCCCCCGTTCATTTTCTTCCATCATCCTTCTCATGGCATGCAATCAAGTTGGCCTGCGCGAAGGCTCAAGCTTTCACTTGTTCCTAAAGCCCAGAAACTCCCCACACAGCTGCCTGATGAAATCCTTCAAGCAGTTGACTAGCCTCCAAAAGTTGTACTAAACAACAACCAGAATGGAATTTCTAGCTTGTGTCACTCAAGTGCCCGATGTGTGTCTGTCACAGATGACAGATGTCATCTTGGACATTTGGTTCTGTTCCTACAATTGTGTATATAGTTTGTTGATTTTCCCTATCGGTAATCGCTGGCTGGATGGTTTATTCCATGGAATTTCATAATGTGCCATGTGTTTCCTGTGGGATTGGCTGGTTGAAAGCTTTCACCAAGCAAGCAGGTTTTGAGTCAAATTGTGTAATTTGCATGTTGCATCCATGTTTTCTTCGGGTTCTTTATTTTCCTTGCAACATCAACAGTTCACCGAGCGCCGAAAGCCAAGAACAACCGGCCGCCATGCCGCGCGCCTTGTCCGGCTTGCCATGCCAACAGCTTAGGCGCTGGGGGCAGGATGCTGGTGATGAGAATGGCCACCCGAGCCATGAAAAATACTTCTGTTGAAGGGTTAATGTGTTTGGGCTTACACTAACTGGCTTCTTGGGGATTATGAACTAACATGAACTAACCAAAAATAGTAGGAGAATCTTCTAACCCACCAGTATTAATGAGATGGAATAGAGGTTTTATTGCTGGCTCATTTGCTTAGAATGGCCCAATATGTCATGCCTCCAGATTTGCTCCGACGAGTTGGAAGGCACCTTGCTCCCACTTGGGGGTATTTACCAGCATAGGTTATAATCCTCCCCGACATTCTATGCGATGAGGGGCTGAGGGGCCCGTCACTGTTCAGATCCAAGACCCCAGCTGTTCCTAGCCAGAGCCGTATCATAGTAACTATAGCTGGCAGTTTTAAAGCCGGTTTCAATCCCAACTTTTAGGAACTGGCTTCAGAAAGCAGTAAATCAATCTAGATCAAATTCACCTAAAAATTCATTTCTCTGAGCTCTACTGATGTTTCCGAATCGGAAATTCGGGCCCAAGATATTGGACCACGGGGATCCCGAAGATCCCGGTGACCAAGCCACGGCCCACAGGCCGCAGCAGTTGTTGCTCCCCCAGCATCAACAGGCGATCGTGGGAAATCAATTCTGGAAATCAAGTGGTCACATGTGTGAGTGAACGCTTCTATCACGTTAAATTTTCGACCGTTTATTGACCATCTACGTTCTATCGCGAAATTTTTTGATGTCATAGCCATTGACTGAAATGGGTCCGCAAAATTGCGGAGCGCAGCCAACGAAAACACTACGAGATTTGGAACTGCTTGTGAAGATGTGGAAACCCAGAAGCTGTTTCATCCAATGATACACGGTGATGATGTGTGATGTATGTGTTTATCGAACCGAAGCCTTAGGCATTGTTTCTGGATAGGATTTCGTACGCCCTATGTTTTTCAACCACCTCGACCTGGGAAAGCTCATGAGGCTTTTTGGTTCCTACGTGTTACTATTGAAATATTCTCTTCATGTTCAGTGGTTGCATCTGAACATGATCTTCAAGACCCATGGCTGGCTGATGGTTTATTCATTTTGTTCATATTTATTCATCATGCTTATTCTTCATTGTCACATTTGGAACCATTGATTGGTGATATCATTAACCCATCCCAGCTTGCTGGTATTTCATTACCAAACCTATGTGCAAATATGAGTAAAATAATTGCTTGCCATGACAATCGTGCGTATAAATTGGCTGACAAATAGGTTCAACCAGTACATTGGTGAAATCCAATTCTCACAGATTAAAGCCCCATGGTTCTTGCAAATATCATATACGTCCAAGCAATCATTTGTTCTAGCGATTGGTGATCTACCAGTTCTATCATCACTTCCTACAGTCCTTTGGAATTTCGTTTGACGTAGCCATACAGCAACCAATGCTAGGTTTTAGGGAAAATTAAGCATTTATGCGGCTGATTGGTTCTTAGCTGGTTCTTCGTTGGGTCTGCTTGAGACTGCCGAATTGCCGCTGAATTCCGAAAAACGATGGAAACGTGGAGCCTCACCTGGGAGGAGGTGCCAGAACGGCCGCACCGGAGCTTCGACGAAAAGATTGTCCCATAAATTTCAGACAAACACAGTCAAACCCATATTTTGCGTCAAAATCCCCATCATACCCATTCATATCCTATAAGATATTTATAGGCCTTCTAAAGCCATAAAACCCATATAAATCACCATGAAATGTCCATCCAACCCGTTGCACACCACGAGGCGGCACCGCCGCAGCCCTTGCCGCCGAACTCGGCGCGCCACGGCCGTGGCTCCCGGAGGCGTTCCTTGCAGCTGTTGCTGGGTGCCTGGGCGGAAAACCTTCTTTTGATGGCCTATAGATGGTAGATCATGGGATAGTATCGCAAAATAGTTAAAAAATTGAATAATGGATGGTAATGGACTAATATATCTTATCTATGTGGAATATGGATGATAGCGGGAAAATATAGTGGGATGATAGAGAATAAATGATAATAATAGTATCCATAGCAACTTTGCATCATCTATAATAGTAAAAAATAGTAAAACAAACGGATTACTCTGAGTTGTTAAAGTTGAACGATTTCAATGAAATGAGCGTCCCAGCTGCGCGCACGCAACTTCTAAAGTTGACCAATGTTGCGTCCAGCTTGTGTCTAGCAAGTTAGTTCCCGAGAGCGCCTGCGAAGGGTTCTTCGTAAAAAAGCAGCCGTTATACTAGATCTTCACACCTTCACACCTGCAGATCTAGATCTTCACACCTTCACACCTGCAGATCTAGATCTTCACACCTTCACACCTGCAGATCTACATCTTCACACTCTCACATCTGCCGATCTACATCTTCACACCTTCACATCTGCTGATCTACATCTTCACACCTTCACACCTGCAGATCTAGATCTTCACACCTTCACACCTGCAGATCTAGATCTTCACACCCTCACATCTGCAGATCTAGATCTTCACACCTTCACACCTGCAGATCTAGATCTTCACACCCTCACATCTGCAGATCGAGGGTGTGAAGATCTAGATCTGCACACCCTCACATCTGCAGATCTACATCTTCACACCCTCACACCTGCAGATCTAGATCTTCACATCCTGACACCTGCAGATCTAGATATTCACACCCTCACATCTGCAGATCTACATCATCACACCCTCACACCTGCAGATCTAGATCTTCACACCCTCACACCTGCAGATCTAGATCTTCACACCTTCACATCTGCAGATCTCCTCTCGCTCTTCTATTCTCTCTTAAGGCGGGGGCGGTGCCGCCGGAGCGCCACGAAACGCAACCCTTTCGCACGAAATGGACGTTGGACGTCCAAAACCTAGGTAAAATTGCGATTTTGAAGCGTCGCGCGCAACCCTTTCGCACGAAATGGACGTTGGACGTCCAAAACCAAGGTAAAATTGCGATTTTGAAGCGTCGCGCGCAACCCTTTCGCACGAAATGGACGTTGGACGTCAAAAACTGAGGAAAAATTGCGACTTTGAGGTGTCCCGCGCAACCCTTACGCACGAAATGGACGTTGGACGTCAAAAACTGAGGAAAAATTGCGACTTTGAGTTGTCAATCGCAACTCTTACGCACGAAATGGACGTTGGACGTCAAAAACTGAGGAAAAATTGTGACTTTACTGATTCAATCGCAACCCTTACGCACGAAATGGACGTTGGACGTCAAAAACTGAGGAAAGATTACGATTTTACTTGGTCAATCGTAACCCTTTCGCACGAAATGGACGTTGGACGTCAAAACTGAGGAAAAATTGCGATTTTACTTGGTCAATCGTAACCCTTTCGCACGAAATGGACGTTGGACGTCAAAAACTGAGGAAAAATTGCGATGGACGCTTTCGTTTCTGTACAAGTGTCTGTGTGTAAAGCGTCTGTGTGTAAAAGCGTTTGTGTGTGAAAGCGTGTGTGCGTGTGTAAAAAGCATCTGCGTGTAAAAGCGTCTGTGTGTAAAAGCGTTTGTGTGTAAAACCGTCTGTGTGTAAAAGCCTTTGTGTGTAAGAGCTTTTGTGTGTAAAAGCGTCTGTGTGTGAAAGTGTTTGTGTGTAAAAGCGTCTGTGTGTAAAGGAGTCTGTGTGTAAACGCTTCTGTGTGTGAAAGTGTTTGTGTGTAAAAGGGTCTGTGTGTAAAAGCGTCTGTGCGTAAAAGTGTCTGTGTGTAAAAGCTTCTGTGTGTAAAAGCGTTTGTGTGTAAAAGCTTTTGTTTGTGTAAAAGTGTCTGTGTGTAAAAGCGTCTGTGTGTAAAATCGTCTGTGTGTAAAAGCGTCTGTGTATAAAAGAGTCTGTGTGTAAAAGCGTTTGTGCAAAAGCGTCTGTGTGTAAAAGTGTCTGTGTGTAAAAGCGTCTGTGTGTAAAAGCCTCTTTGTGTAAAAGTGTCTGTGTGTAAAAGTGTCTGTGTGTAAAAGTTTCCGTGTATAAAAGCCTCTCTGTGTAAAGGAGTCTGTGTGTAAAAGCGTCTGTGTGTAAAAGTGTCTGTGTGTAAAAGCGTTTGTGTGTAAAGGAGTCTCTTTGTAAAGGCTTCTGTGTGTAAAAGCCTCTGTGTGTGAACGTGTTTGTGTGTAAAAGCGTCTGTGTGTAAAAGTCCCTGTGCAAGCATCTGTGTGTAAAAGCCTCTGTGTGTGTGTAAAAGAAAAGCGTGTGTGTGTGTGCGTGTGTGTGTAAAAGCTTCTGTTGGTGAAAGTGTCTGTGTGTAAAAGTGTCTGTGTGTAAAAGCGTCTGTGTGTAAAAGCTTCTGTGTGTAAAAGCCTCTGTGTGTAAAGGAGTCTGTGTGTAAAAGCTTCTGTGTAAGAGCGTCTGTGTGTAAAAGCTTCTGTGTGTAACAGCGTTTGTGTGTGAAAGCGTGTGTGCGTGTGTAAAACGCATCTGCGTGTAAAAGCGTCTGCGTGTAGAAGCGTCTGTGTGTAAAACCGTCTGTGTGTAAAAGCCTTTGTGTGTGTGTAAGAGCTTTTGTGTGTAAAAGCGTCTGTGTGTAAAAGCGTCTGTGTGTAAAAGCGTCTGTGTGTAAAGGAGTCTGTGTGTAAACGCTTCTGTGTGTGAAAGTGTTTGTGTGTAAAATGGTCTGTGTGTAAAAGCGTCTGTGTGTAAAAGTGTCTGTGTGTAAAAGCTTCTGTGTGTAAAAGCGTTTGTGTGTAAAAGCTTTTGTGTGTGTAAAAGTGTCTGTGTGTAAAAGCGTCTGTGTGTAAAATCGTCTGTGTGTAAAAGCGTCTGTGTGTAAAAGCCTCTGTGTGTAAAAGCGTCTGTGTGTATAAGCGTTTGTGTGTGAAAGTGTGTGTTTGTGTAAAAGCATCTGCGTGTAAAAGCGTTTGTGTGTAAAAGCGTCTGTGTGTAAAAGTGTCTGTGTGTAAAAGTTTCCGTGTGTAAAAGCCCCGCTGTGTAAAGGAGTCTGTGTGTAAAAGTGTCTGTGTGTAAAAGCGTCTGTGTGTAAAAGCGTTTGTGTGTAAAGGAGTCTCTTTGTAAAGGCTTCTGTGTGTAAAAGCCTCTGTGTGTGAAAGTGTTTGTGTGTAAAAGCGTCTGTGTGTAAAAGTCCCTGTGCAAGCATCTGTGTGTAAAAGCCTCTGTGTGTGTGTGTAAAAGAAAAGCGTGTGTGTGTGTGCATGTGTGTGTGTAAAAGCTTCTGTGTGTAAAAGTGTCTGTGTGTAAAAGTCTCTATGTAAAAGCTTCTGTGTGTAAGAGCGTCTGTGTGTAAAAGTGTCTGTGTGTAAAAGCTTCTGTGTGTAAAAGCGTCTGTGTGTAAAGGAGTCTGTGTGTAAAAGCTTCTGTGTAAGAGCGTCTGTGTGTAAAAGCTTCTGTGTGTAACAGCTTCTTTGTGTAAAAGTGTCTGTGTGTAAAAGTGTCTGTGTGTAAAAGGGTCTGTGTGTAAAAGCGTCTGTGTGTAAAAGCGTTTGTGTAAGAGTGTCTGTGTAAAAGTGTTTGTGTGCAAAAGCGTCTGTGTGTAAAAGTGTCTGTGTGTAAAAGCCTCTGTGTAGTAGCCTCTGTGTGTGAAAGTGTGTGTGTGTGTAAGTGTGTGTGTGTGTAAAAGCGTCTGTGTGCAAAAAGCGTCTGCGTGTAAAAGCTTCTGTGGGTAAAAGTGTCTGTGTGTAAAAGTGTCTGTGTGTAAAAGCGTCTGTGTGTAAAAGCGTCTGTGTGTAAAAGCGTCTGTGTGTAAAAGCGTCTGTGTGTAAAAGTGTCTGTGTGTAAAAGCGTCTGTGTGTAAAAGCTTCTGTGTGTAAAAGCTGTGTGTTTGTGTGTAAAAGCGTCTGTGTGTAAAAGGAGTCTCTGTGTAAAGAGCGTCTGTGTGTAAAAGCTTCTGTGTGTAACGGCTTCTTTGTGTAAAAGTGTCTGTGTGTAAAAGTAAAAGGGTCTGTGTGTGTGTGTAAAAGCGTTTGTGTAAGAGTGTCTGTGTGTAAAAGCGTTTGTGTGCAAAAGCGTCTGTGTGTAAAAGCGCCTGTGCGTAAAAGCTTCTGTGTGTAAAAGCCTCTGTGTGTAAGAGCTTCTGTGTGTAAAAGCCTCTGTGTGTGAAAGTGTTTGTGTGTAAGAGCGTCTGTGTGTAAAAGCGTCTGTGTGTAAAAGCGTCTGTGTGTAAAAGCTTCTGTGTGTAAAAGCGTCTGTGTGTAAAGGAGTCTGTGTGTAAAAGCGCCTGTGTGTAAAAGCGTCTGTGTGTAAAAGCGTTTGTGTGTAAAAGCGTCTGTGTGTAAAGGAGTCTGTGTGTAAAAGCTTCTGTGTAAGAGCGTCTGTGTGTAAAAGTGTCTGTGTGTAAAAGCTTCTGTGTGTAAAAGCGTCTGTGTGTAAAGGAGTCTGTGTTTAAAAGCTTCTGTGTGTAAAAGCGTCTTTGTGTAAAAGCGTTTGTGTGTAAAAGCGTCTGTGTGTAAAAGTCTCTGTGTAAGCGTCTGTGTGTAAAAGCCTCTGCGTGTGAAAGTGTGTGTGTGTGTGTACAAGAAAAGCGTGTGTGTGTGTATGTGTGTGTGGGTGTAAAAGCTTCTGTGTGTAAAAGTCTCTGTGTAAGCGTCTGTGTGTAAAAGCCTCTGTGTGTGAAAGTGTGTGTGTGTGTAAAATAAAAGCGTGTGTGTGTGTGTGTTTGTGTGTAAAAGCTTCTGTGGGTAAAAGTGTCTGTGTGTAAAAGTGTCTGTGTGTAAAAGCGTCTGTGTGTAAAAGCGTCTGTGTGTAAAAGCCTCTGTGTGTAAAAGCGTCTGTGTGTAAAAGCGTTTGTGTGTGAAAGTGTGTGTGTGTGTGTAAAGGCATCTGCGTGTAAAAGCGTTTGTGTGTAAAAGCCTCTGTGTATGACACAGGGTATTTCATTTTATTTTGGAAAATCCCACATAAATTGCCCAAAAAAGCTCGGTACCATGATGTCGTGCATGATACATGTTATTTCATTTTATTATGGAAAATCCCACATAAATGGCCCAAAAAGATCGGTACCATGATGCTGTAAATCACACATGTGACAAGACTTCACTAGTGAAATGTCTGCAAACGTTTGCACAAAAAAAAGCCCAATACCATAATGCAGTAAATGACACACGTTATCTCGTTTTATTCTGGGAATATCCCACAGAAACTATCAAAAAAGCTCGGTACCATGATGCCGTGTATGGCACATGTCATTTCATTTTAGTATGGAAAATCCCACATAAATGGCCCAAAAAAGCTCGGTACCATGATGCTGCGTATGACACATGTTATTTCATTTTATTACGGAAAATCCTACATAATTGGCCCAAAAAAGATCGGTACCATGATGCTGCAAATGACACATGTGACAATACTTCACTAGTGAAATGTCTGCAAACGTTTGCAACAGAGCTCGATGCCATCATGTGCTTGATGTCAAAAACAGAACAGTTTGAGTTCAGGACCAAAAAATGTCATATAGAGACACTCTTCAAAAGCTTCTGTGTGTAAAAGCCTCTGTGTATGAAAGTGTGTGTGTGTAAAAGCATCTGCGTGTAAAAGCCTCTGTGTGTAAAAGCGTCTGTGTGTAAAAGGGTCTGTGTGTAAAAGGGTCTGTGTGTAAAAGCGTTTGTGTGTAAAGTGTCTGTGTGTAAAAGCTTCTGTGTGTAAAAGCTTCTGTGTAAGAGCGTCTGTGTGTAAAAGCGTCTGCGTGTAAAAGTGTCTGTGTGTAAAAGCGTCTGTGTGTAAAAGTCTCTGTGTGTAAACGCGTCTGTGAAAGCGTCTGTGTGTGTAAAGGAGTCTGTGTGTAAAAGCTTCTGTGTAAGAGCGTCTGCGTGTAAAAGTGTCTGTGTGTAAAAGCGTCTGTGTGTAAAAGTCTCTGTGTGTAAACGCGTCTGTGAAAGTGTTTGTGTGTAAAAGCGTCTGTGTGTAATTTCACAACTTTCCCCTCCATAGCTCATATCAAATTCACCAACCATTCACCGACTATTTTTTACGACTACCATACTCAGAGCTGCTTGAAGGACGTGTTTTTCGCTCTCGGGCCAACCGTCGTCTAGTTTTTTTCAGGTGTTTGACTTTTTCGTGGGTTTTGCATCGCCAGCGACTTTGTGTGACTTCGTATTTAGGTTGTGTCTATACCATGTTTTCATGATCGACTTTAACGGTTCGGAGTACTATCTTTAGATTATAGATGCTGGCATAGTGGGCTAATATCTATCTATAATGTATATATGATACTGGGATGGCATAGCCTATCAAATTCTTCAATAAGGTAGTATAGCATAATAGTTATAAATTGGACAGTGGATAATATTTTTGTATATTATGATGGGTTTTCCAAGATTGCACAAAATGGCCTATCTATGATGGGATATCCTGAAGTTAAGCCTTAACATTGTTGAGGGGTTACCGACCTGTGATGACCTGGGGCAGGGCGGCTGCATCCCCGTGAAATCAAGGTTATAAGGTTGAAGCAGCAGATTTAAATATCGGATGGCAATCAAGAATTGAATCGGCTTATTGGGCAACTGCAAGAAGTCACCATTCAGCTGAACAGCTGAACAGGTTTCATAATAGCCACTGAAGCAAACAGAGATAGCATTAAGAATGAGGTCGGGTGAATCTTTCTGAATTCTTCGCTTTCTTAGCATGCTACATTTCATGTCACAACGTTTAACCCCATACATTGGGACAGTGTCAAACCTGTATCATGTTTCGAGAGGATAGGCATCTATCTACCAGCTCTCTTGATGTTCACCAAATTGTCAAGGTGAATTGACCGCCATGTCAGGTCAAATCCCCATGGAAAGCATCTGAGGTCTCTGTTGCACCCCTGCCGCGGCGCGCGCGGCGCTGAAGGGTCGCACGGCTTGCGTCACGGGCGCCAGCAGAGGCATTGGCAAGGCACAGTGGGGCCAGTCATGCATTTCTTAGGATAAAGAGATTGGGTAACCTGGTTACCGCGACCATCCCTCCCTCAGTTTCGACGGACGTTAAAGGACTCTCGTTTTATATACAGAGCAAACAGGGTGATAGAATGGGTGGCACGAACCTGTAGTCAACAACCATGAGGACTTTTACATTACAAGAATCATGTGGGACCGAACAAAGCGATGATAGAATTGACAATCACTAAAAAGGAGAACTGCTTAGGAACAGGTGGGTTCCACCTACCCCCAAAGCACTTTCTGAGCGCCAAAAGTGGTGACGTCACCAATGATTAGAATGTTAGTACGCTGCTTGGTTCGTATCCATTGCTATCAATTCGAAGTCGCAAGTCGCAAATGCCGGTGGAATTTTCCCCTGGTAAACACAGATGGTTTCACGCGGGATGGTCAATGTAGACTGTGGAATGTAGAACCTGTCAGAATTCGGAATCTCGGATTTGATGGTAAACGATGTTCACACTTACTGAATGTTAAACATCTTTCTATGGCAAGTTGATCCCGGCACAAACCAACTCAACATCTCAGGTGTTCAAGTCAATGGATTGCTTCACCGCAAAGGAGGCATTACACAATGTCACCACTGAAGACGTTTTATCTTGGCATGGTTTTGTTCATCACATGTTTGCCACACCCATCACTAATTCCGTTCATCCCATGATGATATCCCAAGTTTCGTACTGGTATGCATTTACTTGCCAGGGGATTGCCATCGCTTTGGGCGAGGTGGGTGCCAAGGTCTTTGCATCTTGCCAGTGAAGGGGTGTGGGGATTGGGGAACCACTTAGGACCAGTTAATGAAGGGGTGTGGGGATTGGGGAACCACTTAGGACCAGTTAATGAAAGCACAAAAGCCATGCAAAACCTTCCAGGCAATGATGGTTTTGGAGTGGCAATCTAAGGTGTGAGCAAGCTATAGCTCAGGGAATGCATTTCCCTCTTTACATCCTTGAGGTGGAGTAGGCTGGCCCCAGAACAGGTGTGGTTGATGCAAGCAGGTTTCATGTGGAATGTCATCCTTTTCACCAAAGCGTAGGCTGCATGACAGTCACAGGCTCATCAGTTTTAAAGAAGGTAGTGAAAGTGTGAGCAGTGATCAGCAAAACTGCATTCCAAGATTTCAAACACCTGAAGGGAGCGCAAGCAACTATGGCAACAAAGCCCCAAGCAGCATGCCAAATGCCGCATCAGCCTCCGGCGCGCTAACCTGATCGGAGCTGCCGCTCCACACGCCCAAGGGCACAACGAGGCGGTGGCAGGCGCATCCCGCGAAGCAGACTTGCTACAGTGGCAGTTCTTCACCGAGGATTTTCATGGAGGAATGCGTTTGCTTCCCCCGCGGCTTGTCCGCAGCATAGGTATACCCAGATTCTGTTTGGAACGGGCTTCTCAAAACAAGGGCTTCCTTTTGAAGTGCTGGTGGTGGACAAAACCCAACAGAAACTAAAGCCTGGGATCTCCCTGGTCGAAAGTTGGCGAAACACACTATGCAGAAAGCCATTCCGGTATTGAGCGACAAGGGCAACCAACCGGTTCAGTGCATGAGGCCAACATCTCACTGCTTCTCCAATGTGCGTGGCCAGGGTGTAGCCACGGATGCTGTCGGTCCATTGGAAAGCCATGGTGAGTTTGCAGCCCTTGGATCCACTGTGTTATGCATAAAAGCCTCAATGTTTCAGGAGATTTCTCTGGAGATTTCTCTGGGAGTTTCTCATTTTTGCTGCGTTACCTGATTGGTTTTGTTCGCTTGGCTTAAAACCGACTGACAAAAGCCAACATGCCCCGGTCAGTCATTGTGGTAAGCCTTGACCACCCTGCTGCCTTGATCCATTCACTTCCTAGTTAGGGCTATATTCCTTGATATTTCCAGGCTGGAAGGCTAAGGGGCGGGATGACCCATTCACTGTCTTTAAAAATTTATAGAACCCGCCAATCACAAGTTCATCCAGATCAACCCCGCAACTCGTAAATCGTGTCAGCAACTGGGTGATTCCATTCCTAATTGGGATTTTGCATTGGGCAGCCTGGATACAAACCATGGCCCCAGGTTCAGTTGGATAAATGCTACATGAGTATAGCCTTAAATATTGGAAAAGAAGCAACAAACCTTGATGATATCTGAATAGGAACACTACCCGGCAAAACCCAAAGAAGTCCAACTGGGGAACGCTTGTGTTGGCTCGACGTCCTTTTCCCAGTTTTAAGCCCACCATTCTGTTGCACTCATCATGTCCCTCAACTCCCATCAAAATTGTTTGAAATCGTGAGTGAAACCCCAGTTTAAGCGCTATTTTTGCTTGGGCAAAACATCTAACGCACCCCCCGAGGTCACAGGGCGTCGCAAGGAGGCGGTGAAGAGCACCGCCGACCTGGTGACCGAAGCGGGGGGCCAAGGCGGCGACGCGAAACGTGGGAGGTTCATGGGATTTGAGATGGTTTGATAGGGATATATTGCGAGAGTAATGGGAAAATAGGGAGGCTCATTGGATATTAGGTGGTTGTTGTGCCAAAACAAAGGTAATATGGGAAAATCCCTGGGTACTCATCTATGAATGGAACACAAATGGGAGAATATGGAATGTTCACCCAGGCCCCAATCGATAGCTAAGTTGTTTTTCTTGTCTAGGTCAATTCATGCCTATGGTTCTTGGTAGACACATATCGAATTGGCTACTGGGGTTTACAACCGTTCTTGCGATGATCTTCCTCGAAGGCTTGATCAGAATGAAATCTTTTTTGATATTCCACGACATTTTAGCATTTTTTCGCCAGCATGAATCCAACATGTTCATCGTCTCTCCTCTTAAAATCACCCTATTTCATGCATGCATCATCACTTGGGTGCTCACTTGGGGTGATTACTGGATATTTAACCAAAGGGGATTTGTACCAATTAACTTACGGAGGTGATTTCCATGGTTTTATAGTTTCTATTTTAATACAAAGAACCCTAGCTGCACCCCGAAGTAAAAAGGATCAGATAACGATTAAAGCCGCAGTAAGTTGGTGTATATTTTTCCTCGGACGTATGGTGGATATGCAGATAATTATGGATATAAAGATTACAAAGGTGGTTTCAATGGTTAGTAACGGGAGTAATGATGTTAAACAGGGTCTATATATGCCCACAGGACTTCTGGGAAAGGGGTTCATTGAACAATATTCTGCAAAGTCATTACGGGTGTTTGAGGTTCATAGAACTTAACCAAGACAAAATAGGAATAAAACCAGTATAATGGGTGGACTTCATCATCAACAGCAACGGGATTTTTTTTGGCTCAGGGAACAAAGACGCCGATTTTGAACCAACCAGTTTACGGTAAAGACGGGGATAAAAAGGGAAACGATGAATGGCTCATGATTTCGATCTACCCCCCGCCCAGTAACAGCAGATAAATGATTTTCCTTTAACCTACCCTTTCAAAACGAGCACAAGGAAATTGCTCCAAAAATCTCGGCTAGGAGGTGCCCAAAAAAAAAACGTCAACCTGCCCTCCAAACCTCTGATACAGAATTCAGAATTCAAGACAGGGGCTTCACTTTCAAGATCTTTCAAGCATATCAGTTGCATTCCAACATTGAGAAAAGAAGAGCGCAGACTACAGACAATACATTCATGTGTTACCCTGAGAAGGTGCGAGCAAGGCGTCTGCATCGAAGCAAGGACTAGAACATATTGTGAAAGGATTTGGCCGCTTGATGCAACTGGCACAATGCACCGTAATGTGCTCAACCATGGAGTCAGATTGGCCATGTGGGAAAATGGAAATGTTATATACTTGGCAACCATCCTAAACTTTAAATTCTAAACCCCGAGCCCATTCGAACCCTAAATCGCAAAACTTCATTGACGCGTAAGTACCAACCGCCAAAACCAGCAAAAGCTAGACTAGACACAAAAAGAGCACAAAAAAACACAAAAAAAACATAATAAAGCACAAAAAAAAGCACAAAAAAAAGCACAAAAAAAAGCACAAAAAAAGCACGAAAAAGCACAAAAAAAGCACAAAAAAAAGCACAAAAAAAGCACAAGGAGACTGCAAAAATAATTTTGCGAAAAAAATGAAAAAAAACCAGCCCGGGCAAGGAAAGGTCCAAAGGGACGACAAAACGAGCACCAGAGAGACCACAAGAAAAGCACAATTTGAGCACCAGCCGAGCACAATTTGAGCACCAGCCAAGCACAATTCGAGCACCAGCCGAGCACAATTTGAGCACCAGCCGAGCACAATTTGAGCACCAGCCGAGCACAATTTGAGCACCAGCGGAGCACAATTTGAGCACCAGCCGAGCACAATTTGAGCACCAGCCGAGCACAATTTGAGCACCAGCCGAGCACAATTTGAGCACCAGCCGAGCACAATTTGAGCACCAGCCGGGCACAATTTGAGCACCAGCCGAGCACAATTTGAGCACCAGCCGAGCACAATTTGAGCACCAGCCGAGCACAATTTGAGCACCAGCCGAGCACAATTTGAGCACCAGCCGAGCACAATTTGAGCACCAGCCGAGCACAATTTGAGCACCAGCCGAGCACAATTTGAGCACCAGCCGAGCACAATTTGAGCAGCAGCCGAGCACAATTTGAGCATCAGCCGAGCACAATTTGAGCACCAGCCGAGCACAATTCGAGCACCAGCCAAGCACAATTTGAGCACCAGCCGACCACAATTTGAGCACCAGCCGTACACAATTTGAGCACCGGCACCTGGGCCAATCAGAAATGACCAAAAATCAATGCAAAGCAGCTGAGGGACCACAAGAAAAGCACAATTTGAGCACCAGCCGAGCACAATTTGAGCACCAGCCGATCACAATTTGAGCACCAGCCGAGCACAATTTGAGCACCAGCCGGGCACAATTTGAGCACCAGCCGAGCACAATTTGAGCACCAGCCGAGCACAATTTGAGCACCAGCCGAGCACAATTTGAGCACCAGCCGAGCACAATTTGAGCACCAGCCGAGCACAATTTGAGCACCAGCCGGGCACAATTTGAGCACCAGCCGAGCACAATTCGAGCACCAGCCGAGCACAATTCGAGCACCAGCCGAGCACAATTTGAGGACCAGCCGGGCACAATTTGAGCACCAGCCGGGCACAATTTGAGCACCAGCCGGGCACAATTTGAGCACCAGCCGAGCACAATTTGAGCACCAGCCGGGCACAATTTGAGCACCAGCCGAGCACAAAAAACCGAAAACAGTAAAACCAAAAAAGTCAACTGCGCCAGCCCCAGCCCCAGCCCCAGCCCCAGCGCCACGCCCAGCCCCAGCCCCAGCGCCCCCAGGCCCAACCCAACCACACCAGCCCCCAGCACCCCAGCCCAGCCAAGCCCAGCCCCAGCCCCCCACCCTTGCGTTTGGTGGTGGTGGTTGTTGTGGTGGTGGTGGTGGTGCTGCTGCTGCTGCCGCTGCTGGTACTGCTGGTTGTAGTGGTCGTGGTGGTGCTCTCGCTGGTGGGGGGCGGTTGTTGTTATTGTTGCTAGTTGTCACATTGCTAAGCTGTCGTAGTTACTAAGAATTGCTAAGGTTTCCAACGGAATGTTGGTGATAAGTTGGCCAGTTCCTAGCAAATCTGTAGCAACCAGAGCCGAGAAGAGAGAAACATACACCTGTGCAGCTTGATTCCTTCCGATTCACATGAAACATTTTTTCAACCATTTGATGATTTACATATTCATGGTGTCTACCTGATCCATTGTTTGGTTTTGGTATAAGAATTTATCCGTATCATATCACCAGATTAGACCCTTATTTTCTGCATTTGGCTGGTGCTCATTTTGTGCCCCTGGCTTGTGCTCACTGTTACTGCCCCGGGGGTAGATCAAACTCATGATCAATGATGGTGGCGGATGGAACGGCAATTTCAGCCGCAAAAATGACGGGGTCAGGAACAGGGATTTCGATTTTGCCACGATATTGATGATCATAAGTTTAGTTTCCTGCAATGTCCAAGTAATTTTATCGCATGTGCTGGAGTTCAGGGCCAAGTAATTTGGGCGACCTCCTGATTGAAGCTGGTGTTTCTCCATGTTTAGCGTGCCAAGTTGAAGCCAAGCAGCTATGATAATGGGGTTGCCTGAAAATCGGGCACCCGCAATTTAATGCTTAAACGAACATGTTTAAACACTATTTCCCTAGGCCCTATTCACATGTTTTTCTCGCCAGGCGTACCACTCGTCTGCGACCATGCAGTGGATGAGCAAGTTAAGGGGGTCTTCGAGGAGCAGCTTGGAGAAACGGTAGCCGGAGATGGGTTCCCTTCTGTCAAAATCTTAAACCCAGGGTGCAACAGATTTTGGTGACTTGATTCTGGAGGAATCCAATGTCAAGGGATTAGGTTCATCCTAGTTTTTTTGACTATTTGTTGGGGGGTACTTACTTTTGACCCATGCCCTTGTATGGTGGCTTGAAAAATAGGAGTTTGTTCATTAAAGATTCTTGGACATGGGTAGTGGACACCAGCAAGAGATGGAGGGGGTAACCCAATTTGGCTTTGAATGAACTATGATTGCTGGTGGTGACCCATTCCTAATGGGATATAAACAAATCAGTCAGCAACAATTTGAAACATGGATTTAAAGGGTTACAGATCAGCAAAAAATGGGCGAATCCAGCTGTAACGATGGTACCTTAAATCTGCCATGGAACTTGGAATTTACCATGGGAACACATGGTCCGAATCTCTAGGGAACACTTAAAAATGGATAGAATCTAAGGGTTGAAATCCTAGGTTTGTGGTTGAACTTCATGATTGAACATCAAGGGAGTACGGATAGGGTTAGAAGTAGACGCAACAATCATTGGAGCGGCTAGAATCAAGGGTTGATTGAGGTTGTAAACCCGTTGGTGTCTTAATACTGGCGAATGACCTATACAGGTCTCATTTGTGTGCGGGTAGCTGTGGTGAACATGCTGAAACGCCCATGATATTATCGAAGGATATACCTGAGTAAGCTATACTGCAACGGCCTCAAAAAGAAATTTGGCCCTGAATGATAGTAAGGTAATCCGCCCAAATCACCTGATTTCAGGTTCCTGTGAAATCCTTTTAGTTGAGTGTGCTCAACACGAAAGCATCTAAAATGCGTGTCTTTTCCATAGCCCGGTTGCTTCAACAGAAGATGTAACCTTGCAGGGGCCATCATCTAAGACCTGGCGATTTGTGGGGATGCGATGCGGTATCCATGGAACGATGACGATGTGGACGGGGAAAACGATGTTTCAAACAAATGCCATGCTGGGACACCTTGTTTTCAGACAAATCCATCTGCATCTAAGTCCAGTAAACCCTACTTGTCAAGTATCCTACAGCTTGGCCTTCTAAACAAAGAACAGAAACACAAACAAAACTAGCCTGTTTTCAATACAACGATTCCAAGTTGCCAACGCACCTGCGAGCAGCATGTCGGATCTCCCTGCCGGCTGTGCCCAGGATTGGTGCTCAGACTGTTCCTCGGCACTCCGGAGCTGTCCCAGAAGTAGTTGTTACGTTATGTCTTGGTTCCTTTTTGCAACCATGGTCACCAACTAACTCCCCACACATGATTGCTGGAAATTACCCACCCGTCTTTAGGGTTTCCCTGCCCTCACACTACATTCCGATACATTTCTGTGATGGTCACCACGGTCACCCGTCGATTGGGTGGGTCTTCACCCCAACTTGGACGATCCTGGAAGTCAGGAATGATGATTAAAAGCTTAGTTGGTACCACCCCAAACATCCTTGGGTATATTTCATGGGTGAAAGTGTTCTTCATCATCAATCTCAATGCGGACTGTTCTGTTGGGATGTGAACGAGAAATGGGTTTGACCTGTTTCCATAATCCTAGGATGCTCAGTTGCTTACGATTCACTAGCAATTAGGGCCTCCCATAGGTATTGACTCATCCATATAGATTTTTTGCTAGTTGACGGAAGGTTATCCCCCTACCCCTCTGCTTTCTAGTTTTCTACATATGTCTCATACATGTATATACATATTTGTATCAATATGTTATTCGATGTGTACATCTACATTGCTTCTTTCTCTAGTGGTCTATCTATCTATTTTTGTTTTTTATATGTCGGTTTTTTCACCCATTGGATCCCCAGGGCGGTCAGCTGGACATCTTGGTGAACAACGCCTTCCAGGACCCGGCACAGAAGGACGCCAAGAGCGATGAGTTGCTCAGCAAGGCCGGCGCTTGGGAGGTTACGCATCTAATGGCAAACCTTCCTTTTATAGGTGGCTTAAATGGGTTTTTAATTGTGTTTTATCAAAGGAAGTTTAGGGGGAGAAACTTCCGTGTTACGGACTTTAGAATGTCAGGGAAAGAGTTAGTCAAAGAAAGAGGTAGTGAGGGAAAGAGTCAGTTAGGGAAAGAGTTAATTGTAACTTTTAGACTGTCAGGGAAAGAGTTAGTCAAAGGAAGAGTTAGTTAGGGAGAGAGTTAATTGTAACTTTTAGAATGTCAGGGAAAGAGTTAGTCAAAGAAAGAGTTAGTGAGGGAAAGAGTTAGTTAGGGAAAGAGTTAATTATAACTTTTAGACTGTCGGGGAAAGAGTTAGTCAAAGGAAGAGTTAGTTAGGGACAGAGTTAATTGTACTTTTAGAATGTCAGGGAAAGAGTTAGTCAAAGAAAGAGTTCGTGAGGGAAAGAGTTAGTTAGGGAAAGAGTTAATTGTAACTTTTAGACTGTCAGGGAAAGAGTTAGTCAAAGGAAGAGTTAGTTCGGGACAGAGTTAATTTGGAAAGAGTTAGTTGGGGAAAGAGTTAGTCAAAGAAAGAGTTAGTGAGGGACAGAGTTAATTGTAAATGACATCTTCAAGTTGGATTTTTGAAGGAAGTCTCGCACGAAATGCGTTTTTGAGAGATAGCAGATGTACGAAACCCTATGTTTTTCCATACAAAGTCCGTCCCCGAACCTCGATGATCTACCTCTGCGGTGCGACGGTTGCGAGACGGTCTCGTGTGTGGTCGGATCATGGTCGGATCATGGTCGGATCGGTTCCGCATTGCAAATGGGGTTTCAACTGTTTTTCGTGCATGTGCGGTCGACAGAATTCCATTGTGATTTGCAACTGTATAGGATCGTTCCCGCAGTGTAAATGGGATTGCAAGTGGTGCTGGTGGATGAGTTGCCGATGGAATTCCATTGTGATTTGCAACTGTAGGATCGTTCCCGCAATGCAAATGGCATTGCAAGTGGTGCTGGTGGAGGAGTTGCCGATGGAGTTTTGAAGGAGGCCTCGCACGAAATGCGTTTTTGAGAGATGGCAGATGCACGAAAACCCTATGTTTTTCCATACAAAGTCCGTCCCCGAACCTCGATGATCTACCTCTGCGGTGCGACGGGTGCGAGACGGTCTCGTGTGTGGTCGGATCATGTTCGGATCATGGGCGGATCATGCTCGGATCGGTTCCGCATTGTAAATGGGGTTTCACCTGTGTTTCGTGCATGTGCGGTCGACAGAATTCCATTGTGATTTGCAACTGTAGGATCGTTCCCGCAATGTAAATGGGACTGCAAGTGTTGCTGGTGGATGAGTTGCCGATGGAATTCCATTGTGATTTGCAACTCTAGGATCGTTCTCGCAATGTAAATGGGATTGCAAGTGTTGCTGGTGGATGAGTTGCCGATGGAATTCCTGTGCTTTGCAACTGTAGGATCGTTCCCGCAGTGTAAATGGCTGTGTCAAGGTTGCTTCGTGCTGTGGCTGCATTGGTAATACTATTGTCTTTTGCAGCTGGACTTCGTAAATCGTATTGGAGTGGCTGCATGAAGGCTGCGACAGTGATTTGTCAGCAGATTTTCTCCATTTTGGCGCTAGTGATTTTCCTTCTAAAAATCCTTTTCAAAAGTGCTTCAAAATCGTCTTTTTTTCGCTCTGGCGTCGAGATCCGGTTTTGGAGCTACAATTTCCGACGCCGTTGCGCGTAGTTCTATTGTGTTTTGCAACTCAGTCTCTGCAGATCGCATTGTAATGGCTGCGTCAAGGTTGCTTTGTGCTGTGGCTGCATTTGTCATACTATTGTCTTTTGCAGCTCGACTTCGTAAATCGTATTGGAGTGGCTGCATGAAGGCTGCCACAGTGATTTGTCAGCAGATTTTCTCCATTTTGTCGCATTAGTGTTTTTTTTGTTCCACGTAGGTTTAGAGCAGTGTGAAGTGTGGGGCGTAAAGAGTGCAGTGTGAAGTGTGAAGTGTGAAGGAAGCAGTGGGAAGTGAGAAGTGTGAAGTGTGGAGTGTGAAGTGTGCAGTGTGGAGTGTGAAGTTTAAGTTTGGAGGGCGAAGAGCGCAGTGTGAAGTGTGAAGTGTGAGGTTTGGAGTGTGAAGGAAGCAGTGAGAAGTGAGAAGTGTGGAGTGTGAAGTGTGGAGTGTGAAGTTTGAAGTTTGGAGTGCGAAGAGGGCAGTGTGCAGTGTGAGGTGTGGAGTGTCGAGGGAAGGACACGGTCGGGACAGGTTGTCTTTGAACTATAGGTCATTTATGTTTGGGAAACTTCCGCCGCCGGCTTGCCCGGGTCTATGTTAGTGGTTTGATGTGGTTTTCTAGTGATTGAATGGGTTTCTAATCGTTTCATGGAATGTTGATGGATACCATCTGGTAATCAACCGTGGCTAGCTGCCAAAACCCCCAGGAAATGGATGTGCTTCTGGGAAAATATGGGAAGCTATGCCAAAATACGGGCTATATACTGGGACTACCATTCTAAAAAGAGCCAGGGTAATGTTAAACCTAAATAATTGTGTAATGTCCAAGATAAACCTATCTTAATGGGTTGCATCCCCACCACGGATGGAAGAAGTCCGGTCCAGGGCGCCAAGTTCTACGAGCTGCCGTTGCAAATCTGGGACGACGTGCACCGCAACTTGGATTGGGATCGGGTCTTCATCAGCACAAATCAGAAAAATACAGCTTATGGGTGGTGATATCATGGAATTATCGGATGACCAATGGGTTTTTGCTATTACATAGGGTTAAATCGGATCAATATATCCGGGTAGTCATCAATGATTCACAATGGTGCCCCCAGTTATGTTTGCTTGTTCGATATAACAGCCATGGAGGCACCATGTTCTACAAACCTCAGAAGGGTTGGACGAGAAACCTGGTTGATGCTGTGAGATGTTCACTTTCCTAAGTTCCATTTCTTGGTATTTCCAAATAATCGTTTCGGGCTGTACTTCTACATGTACAGCGGGCGCCTTTATGATTGTTCCCATCTTCATTAACTTAGGGAACGAAGTTGCAATCGTTGTTGGTTAATGTTGGCGAAATACACCCACAGGCATTGTCCTCTTTGTTTATACACCCTCGATTGTCCATGTAACGGTTTCATTCTCCTCTTGGCGTATGTCCAACTGCACAAATGTGTTCATGTCTCTTCGATTGCTGCCTGTTGTTTGGTGATGTCCTGGTTGATCGACGAGAAAGGTAACAAACCAAGAAGGGCAAGATTCCGAAGCTTTAATTTTAATCATTCCCAGCTTGTTGGATATTGTTTTCGAGTTCACATACCACTTCCATGTCTTTTGTTTGTTTCATCCAACCTATTCACATTTTGAACAGCCCTCCATCATGTTTGTTGATCATCCATGATGCCATCCCATCTCAGGTGTGGGTCTGCGATCGCATTACGTGTCCTCCTACTACGCTGCGCCTTTGTTGTTGTCGGCCGCCAGCAGTGAGTGGCGACCCTTGCCACTTGGCATGGCTAGCGGTCCACAGGGGTCCATAGGGGTCTTCGTTGGGAGCCATACCTCAACGGGGATCCTATGACCGAAGATCCCATCAGGTTAATACAGTGGACGAATCATTGCACGAAATCCTTTCTCCTACCAAAGTTAACCAAATAATACCAAATAAATGAACCCTTCTTATCAATAAGGAAATTCACCTTCAAAAAGTGAGGATCGGCTTTCAATTGGACCTCCCTGAAGTAGGCACCCCATTGTTTTTCAATCTGCGACAACATAGCAGGGTAAGCAGGTCCAAAGTCCGCTGACACCTGATGTCGGTGCACGCTGCCTGAAATCTAATAGTTTTTGGTAGGCATCCACTTTCTGGTTAGTCGACATCCCCGTTCTAGTTTGCAGCTTGTTTCCGCAGCAACTTTGATTGTTTTCAGCCGTTTTTCTGCTGAGCTACCTACAGTTTGTTGAAGCCTTTGTCTTATTCCGTGTTTTTTCACGCGGTTCTATCCACATATTTCTTAAATAGACCTTCCTTGGCTTTCTACTGGTGCAATCCATTTTCCGGTTCTATTTCAGTTCAACCATCAAAGCTGTTGATAAGGAACATGTTCGTCTTGAGATTCCCTTGGTTCGGTGGCTTTCTAGACTATTGTTTTGGCTGTGGATGGAGAAATATAATGCAACTAAATTCTACTGTAAGGTTGGCCATGGTCAAACAACCAAGTTTGCCAGCTAAAACCCTATATAAACTTTTTTTGGTGCACTAGCAGCATTTGCAAGCTAAGACCACATTTTGTGAGTGAAAATCTTATTTCCGCTGCATCACCATGGTTTAACCCATTTTGTTCTTGCTAAAATGTTTATTCTTGGGAATGAAACCTTCATTT